CCAAGACAGGCCTCGTAAAGAAGTTACTTGCTTATTATAGCTGCCACCTATCAACCTGAAGTTGTCTGCCTCTTCCTTGGGTCTCTCCTTTCCCTCCACATATAGGGACCAGTTTGTAAACTAACATCATGTATCCCATCGCCTGGAAAGAATTGCCTTGACCAGAGTGGAGTTGCTGCTGAAGCCTCTCTTTCTGCACCAGCCCGGAAACACAAATTTGAGGGAACGTCTGAAGTAGCATGTGCCTTAAACCAGTAGCACGTGCATCTGCTACCTCCCTTACAGACGGACTGCAGGGATCTGTGAATCAGAGGCAGACCCTTTCATTACATGTGCAAGTTGAATTCCTTGGGCTTCTTTTTTTCTAATGCATTTTGATTTCTATATTTAACATTTTCTTAAGTAATCTCTGTGCCCAACCTGGTGCTTGAACTCACAGCTCTGAGATCAAGAGTTGCATGCAATACTGACTGAGCCAGCCAGGTGCCCCTATTTTTTAATTTTTGATGGAATAAAATGTTTTTAGCATATGCTTTTATTTCTAGTGTATTTTTACTAAAAGTATTTTTAATTGAAGTATAGTTGATACCCAGTATTATATCAGTTTCAGGTACACAATGTAGTGATTCAAGAATTCTATACATTATCACCATCTGCCGCCGTACAACGTTGTTATATTATTGACTCTGTTCCCTGTGTTGTACTTCTCATCCCCATGACTCATATATTTTACCACTGGAAGTTTGTACCTCTTCATCCCCTTCTGTTTCCCCCATTCTGCCACTGCCTCCCCTTGGGCAACAACCAGTTCCTTGTATTTATGGGTCTGTTCTCTTGTTTGTTTTGTTTTTTAGATTCCACATATAAGTGAAATCATGATTTGTGTCTTTTCTGTGCCTAACTTCCTTCACTTAGCATAATAGCCTTTTAGTTCCATCCATGTTGTAGGAATGGCAAGATTTCATTCCTTTTCATGGCCGAGTAGCATTCCATTATATACACACCACTTCTTTATCCATTCGTCAGTGAGTGGGCTGCTGAATGTAGTGGGCTGCACTAGGCTGCTTCCATACATTGGTTTTTTATAAATACAGCTGCAGTAAACATAGGGGTGCCTGTATCTTCTTGAGTTAGTGTTATAATTCTTTAGTTTCTTAATCATAGTGAAGCAAAGAAGTACCAAGAGGCACCCACACAGATCACCTGGTTTCCACATATTCTTCCCCATTGTGTAATTAATGCAAGAGCTGCCCTCCCTTCTCCACTGCCAAGACGGTGATTCCTCCTTTTCCTGCTCATTCCTAGATGCGAGGACCCCAAGGTTTCCAGACCTGCATAGTGTGTAATCCAGTGGAACAGCTGGTACGTTCCCTGGTGAGGGTCCTTTAGGGGGAGACAGGAAGCACAGAGTGCCCCAGTGGGGAGCAGTGGTAAATGGGGTCACTCGGGTTTCCACCCCTTGATTTCAGCTCCTGTATCCTTTCTCTTGGGGACACAGTGGCCTATAAAGGTCAAAGCAGCATCCTGTCTTTGCAGAATATTAACTTCCCCCTTGGCACCACAACTGTGCCTTTGGCCGGCTGTCCCGATGCTCTCAGACAGTGGGTCTCACGGTCCCACACTTCTGCCCAAAGTGCTCTCCTGCACTTCCTGTGCTGTCAAGTGAGTCCTATTTGATATGAAGCCATATGGGATCCCGTGCCAGTGGAACAAACACTCCTTGCTGGCTGGTATTTGCAGGCAAGAAGCCCAAACATATATAGAATATGAATCTATTCCTGTAAAAATGAACTGCTGCCCCTTTCAGAATGGAAGTCCCAATATAGTGAAGTTGGTTGATTGACCTTCTCAAGGTCAGGAGCCATAATGGGAACTCAGCATTGGTCTCTTCTGCTGGCAGGTCACTCAGGGGCAGCTGGTGGCTAGATCAGCCTTAGTCAGAGAACTCACACTGTCGGCCCACGAGCAGCCTACCACCTTGGCCACTTTGTCCTTGTGCCCAGTGAGAACGGCCATCCAATGTCAGCTGGCCGAGTCATTCTGGGTACTTGGCTATTTAATACTTCCTGCATGGATGCTCTCTAGGCTTTGACATTTTATACAAAGACCATCCACTTGGTGCCTATTCCAATAAGCCTACCCTCATGCTTGTATCACAGACTTCCTTGTCCCAGCTTTGAATGGTTTTCATTCCAGGCCTTAATCCGGCCACCCAGATCATCCAACAAACACCATCACATTTAAAAAAGTGGATGACTCTGCCGTTTGGGAGGATATGCCCTCACCACAGTCTTACAAGCTTCCCCCCCACCCCCACCCCGAGTGAGGCTGCAGTGTAGCTGCTATCCGTGTGCGGTTTGAACTCACATACCCAGCTATCCAGTTAGTTAGGGAGAGAGAGAAAGAGAGAGAGAGAGCGCGAGTGGGGGAGGGGCAGAGAGAGAGGGGGAGAGGATCCCAAGCAGGCTCTGCATTGCCAGCACAGGTTCCCATGTGGGGCTCGAACTCATGAACTGTGAGGTCATGACCTGAGCTGAAATTGAGAGTTGGCCGCTTAACTGACTGAGTCACCCAGGTGCCCCACAGGCCAACTCACTTATGAACCAAGCTCAAGATTTTTCCTTCTTTGTCAATTGGTCATCAAGGGCCCCCTGTATGGTCACAGATGCAGAATGATGGAGTGGCTCTAACACAACAGCAGGGGTGCCATGTGGGTCTGGGCTACCCGTCCTACACTCAGCTGTGACTTCTACATTCTCCTGTTCAGTCTTGAATGTACTACTTCCATCTTGTGATGGGTTGTGCTGGACCCGGCTGACTTTATGACTTGGTAAGTTTGATAGCACCCATCTCATAATGTGCAGTTTTGGCTGCCTGGTGACCTAGTGTCCCAAGGTCAGGTGTTACATCTCTATCAGAACACAGTAGCACAATAGGATATTTTCCCCCAAAAGACATACGCGTTCTCTGCCCCAAGTGATATGTCAGAACCTCAGGGTCCTGAATTGTGAATCTCCTACTGGGACATGCTAGAAACTCCACAGTCCATTGTTCCTCACCACCAATAACCACCAGTACCACCTGCTAGACCATATGACTCAGGCAGCATAGCTCCTTCATAGGGTTTATTATCTCCTCTCTGGAGTATCTGTATCTTACCAAGATCTCCAGCATCTTCTCCACTCCTTGCTCATCTGGCCAATCAACATGATGCTATTGATGTAATGGGACAATGTAATCGTCTCCAGGATGTCTAAGTGGTCCTGATCTCTGGACTGTGACAGAACACGAGAGTAACATAGCCTTCAGGCAAAACTGTGTATTCCACGTGTTCCACAGTCTGGGGGCCAACATCAGTTGTCAGACATTTGAGTACGTGAGTAATCGGGATGATTCTTGTTCTAAGTCACTAAGTGTGTAGTAATTTGTCATGCAGCACTAGACACACCTTCATGTTAGCGGCCATCCCTTCAGGAAGTTTACAGCCTTTTTTGTGCAGGTGCTAAATCCCCTACCTTAGAAGATTGCTGAAAAGTCAATAAACTCTTCTACCCAATTTTACATTGCAGCTCCCTTTTGACTTCTGCAAGGGTCATGCTGATGAATCCAACCACTCATTAAGCACCCTCAGAATGAGGCCCCCAACAAATGTCCCTAGTCCTTGGCAGTTCATGTTGGGTGGCTCTTACAGCTTGTTATGGGTTGAATTGTATCCCTACCTCCTCCCAGAAAAGCTGTTCAAGTACTAACCCCCAGTACCTCTGAATGTGACCTTATTTGGAAATAGGCTCTTTGCAGATGTTCAAGTTAAGATGAATTCATTAGGGTGGGCTCTAATTCAGCATGACTAGTGTCCTTATAAGCAGGGGGAATTTGGACACATAAACGGACATGCACGTAGGGGAAAAGCTATGAACATGAAGGCAGAGATTGGCACGATGCACCTACAAGCCAAGGAACACCAAACATTGCCAGCAAGCCCTCAGCAGCTTGGAGGGAGGAGTGACAGCTTCTCACAGCTCACAGCTCTCAGAAGGAACCAACCATGCTGTCATCCTTTAAGTTTATTATTATTTTTTTTTTCGTAATCTCTAACTCCAACGTGGGGCTTGAACTCATGACCCCCTAGATCAAGAGTCACATGCTCTTTGGCCTGAGCCAGCCAGGTGCCCCCTGCTGTCATCTTGTTCTGACTTCTGGCCTCCAGAATTGTGAGACAGAACATTTCCTGGTAAGCTGTCCTGTTTGTGTGCAGCTTTGTTACTGCAGCCCTCGCAAACTGATACACCATTCTTTTGAGAGGGAAGGGACTATAATTCCCTTTCTATCTCATGTTTCCAGCTAGTAATGCCAAAAAAAAAAAAAAAAAATAGCCATAATTATATGCCTAGTGTCCAGTAGGTGAGGGGAAGGAGTGTTAGGTGAGGGGAAGGAGTGTTAGGTTGATGGGAAAGGTAAGCCACATGGGCAGGCTCCAAAGGTTCAAGGTAGTCTGGGGAGTGAAAACCTTTGAGGGTATCTACCCAGATACCAAATACTCCAACCCCAGCTTTTCCCAACCCAGGTCCCAAACTCAGCAATACAGAACTGCCTTGGTTGGGTGTTTACCATCTTTGAGGTATTAATTCCTGGGCCTGGCCCTTGTCTTTTTGTTTTTTTCTTTTCCTCTCTTCAATGTTTGTTCATTTTTGAGACAGAGCAAGTGGGAGAGGGGAAGAGAGACGGAGAGAATCCCATGAACTAAACTGTGAGATCATAACCTGAGCCTAAATCAAGAGTCGGACGCTTAACCAACTGAGCCACCCAGGTGCCCCAGCCCTGGTCTTCATCTCCGTGTAGGAGATGGTTTTGTCCTATGCAACCAAAGACTCCATGGCTTTCAGTTGTCTGTTGTTAGCCACCAGCTGTCTGTTTTTCTTAAGGGTATCAGGAAGGAATAGCTGTCTAGTTCCGTTATCCTTCCCTATAGCTACTAGATCGTAAAAGACTTAATACATCACCCAGTTAGTGTTCCATTTTACTTCGCTGGTTCACACTCTCACTTCAAAGCTGGTGAAAAATCAGTGATCACACCAAAGGGGCTGTGAGTGCTCCACGGACAAGTGGTGAGTTATGCAGCCCATCTCTTCATGAGCTCCGACTCGTAGCAGGATGGCTTCTCCACAAGCAGATGTTGGATGGAGTTTGGGGTACAAGATATTTATCTGGTCTCAACACCTGTGAGAGGGAGGGGCAGGAAGCAGGGCTGGGCAGAGGAAGTGGAAGTGTCCCAAGACCACCTGGGGTGCTCTGGCACCTCTCACAGAAGTGCCCTGTGTCGGGCCCAAGTGGCCAGACCTTTATAGCCTTGCTTCATTCATTCATTCATTCATTCATTCATTCATTCAGTCCTCAGATGTGGATGGCTCCAGGAAGGATATGGCTTTAGGCAAGGTGGCACCTACGACAGCCCACCCTTGCACCGCGCAGATTCACTTCAGGGCCCCTCTGGGTCTCTCAGTCCAGCTGCAGCAAAGCCCCCAGGTCCCTAATGTTTCGTTGTTCCCGGTACCTGTCTTCCCACTCCCTAAGGTCACCTCGTGGTCTGAAATGGCTGCTGGAGCTCATTCCTGGTCAATACTATACCTTCAACATCTGTTTTGAAAAGTAAACGAGTTAACACAGACAAAGCCCTGGGGAAAATGGCTCACAAGAGGCCCATGTAAATACCTGCTACTATCCCGGCAGGAGAGCAAAGCCGGGCACGCAAAGCGTGCAGAGGCTGCCCCAGCAAGGCTCCCGGGAACCGGAGAAGAGCCCCGGGAGTGAGGCTGAAGGAAGGGACCGCTCACAGGGCCTGCGGGGTCACACACGAACCGACTGGCTGTTCTCCCTCCAGGGGGCAGGGCCTGGGCAGCCCTGCTGGGCCCCAGACCCCGAACTCGGAGGGAGTCCCCGCCTGCGGTCTCGGATCCCAGGCCCGCAGCACAGCCACCGCGGAAGCCAGCGGGCCGGGTGGACCCGAGCAGGAGCCTGGTCGCCGGCGCTTTCCCATGAGACTCCGCGGGGCCCTCGCTGCATCCTCGGGGCCAATGGGAGCTAGTGTTCGGTGTTGCTGGGCGGGCCGGGGACGCCAAGCCCGGCCCACGACCTGCCGCGCACGCGCACTCTCCCTCCCGCCCTTCTCTCCGCGCACGCGCACCGCACGTAGGGCTTGCCTGGCGGTCGGGGGCGCGCGGGGTGGCTGGCGGTGGAGCGCGTGCTCGCGCCCGCGCTGGTGCGCAGCCGCTCGGGCCGCGCCCCTGCCCCGCCGCCTCAGCTCCCCGCGGGGCCGATGCGGGTCGCGCGGCTGAGGCGAGCGAGGTAGGCTTCGCCGGCGCCGCGGCCGCCCGGCCCTGGCCCGACTGGGACCGCGGCCTCAGCCCCTCCCGGGCGCGAACCAGCCTGGTCGTCCGCGGGGCGCGGCCAAGGGGGCCATGGCCGACCGCGGGTGTCCGCTGGAGGCGGTGCCGCTGCCCGCCGAGGTGCGGGAGAGCCTGGCGGAGCTGGAGCTGGAGCTGTCGGAAGGTGAGCGGCCCTGCCCTCGGCCCTCACCGGGGACCCCGGACCCCGCCTTGCCCTCAACTCGGACCCCGAGACCCCCGCCCTGCCCTCACCTCAGACCCTGGGACCCCTGCCCTTCCCTCGCCTCGGACCCCGGGACCCAAGGCTCCAGCCCGGATCCCGCCCTGCCCTCACCCCTCACTCTGGGACCCCTGCCGTTTCCTCACCTCGGACCCCGAGACCCCCGCCCGGCCCTCACCTCGGACTCCGGGACCCCAGACTCCCAGCCGGGATCCCGCCCGGCCCTCACCTTGGACCCCGGGACCCTGGCCTGCATCCCGCCCTGCCTTCACCCCCTCCACTCCCCCCCCCCCCCCCCCCCCCCCCCCCGTCCCCGTCCCGGGACCACTTCCTAGCCCGGACTCCTGCACCCCCGCCCTGCCTTCACCCTGGGACCCCAGACCCGGGTCCGAATCCCTGCCGGCCCTCACCCGAGTCCCCGAGACCCCCGCCCTACCTTCACCTCGGTCCCCGGGACCCCAGACTCCTGTCCGGATTCCCCCCAGCGCTCACCACGGACCCCGAGAGCCCCTCCCTGCCCTCGCCCCTGGACCCCAGACCCCGGCCTGCATCCCGCCTGGCCCTCACGCCCCGGCCCTCATCCGGAGATCGGATCCCCACTCCTTCGCCCCAGCCTTCTGGTTTCAGGCGGGTCACCGTGTCCGGCTCTGTGCGGGGTTTGGCCTAAAGCACGTGAGTCTCGACGGGAATGACCGTTTTTTGGTCCAAGCAGTAGGCGGTGTGTGTCTGAGGCTAAGGCTGCAGGTCTGGGCTTCCTGGGGGTGGCTGTACTGGGGCAGCTGCTGCTGGCCTGGGGTGTGGACCTGTGACCCCAACTCCAGCCTGTGTGCCAGTTTCCTCCCTATAGAGCGAGTTATAACAGCACCTGCCTCTCGGGATTGTTCGAGCTGAAAAACACATGCCAAGGGCCTAACACTGAGAAGGAGACTGTTGTTGCCCCATTTTCAGAATTTTTAATTTTTTTTTTAAAAAGTTCTTTAAATGTTTGTTAAAAATAGACTGGAGTGATTCCACCGCAGAGGTGGGTGGCTTTCCCGTCCAGATGTTACCTCTTGCCCAAGACTTGTGTCCTGATGTTCTGTTTGGATTCGTTTCCCAAGAGCAAGTTTTTGCCCAGTATTAGGACAGCCTCGCAGCCTTCGAAGAAGAGCATCTATATGTTTAACTATTTTTGAAACCTAAATGCATTTTTGGCTTTTACAATCCATTTTTTCATAGTCTAGTTATTCTTACTTTTAAGTTTCAGGTTGATATGTTTGACTCAGGTTGGGGTAGGGAAGTTTTGAAACAACCATCTAATAAATAAATACATACTTGCTTGGACTAACTCACTTCATCCCACCAACCTCAGAGTGGTAGGTGGTGGTTATCTTTGTTTTACAGATAATACAGCAACTACCTGCAACTGGTTTGAATTCAACATCGAAATTTTTTAGAGCTATGTATGATATGTGGCACATTTTTTAAAAATGAAAGTGCAGTAAGAAGTGGATGGATTTGAGGGTTCTTTGTGATTAGATGCTCTTGAGAAGTCTGAAAAGCTCCAATTAGGAATGGTTCTGACGGGAAGTACTGTCCTGAATTTGTTATAGCTCTTCATTAAGGGAAAATTATGTAGATGCAGTTTAGACTTTATACATCTCAGATGTTTGTGCTGATTGCTCCTAATTTCTACTCCAGTGGATTTGTTATTCCCTCATTCTTGTTTTGTGGTTGTGTGTTTGAGTGCTTTCTAGGGAGTTGACAGATGAGATTGGATCCTTTCCGTAACGAATTTGGTGGTTTGTATGACAGAACAAGTACTTCAATGAAAAATGCTTTTGGTCTATTGAATGTGTTTCTGCTGTCCTCATTTCAGACCTGTGTGGAGGATGGGTGGGTAAGTAAAGGGAATAGTATTGTATGTAAGTGGAGAGGAACTGGAAACATAGCTGAAGCTGAGGAAGGAGGGACAGAGCGTTCAAATGAAAGGACGGACTGAAGTGGCAGCCGGGGAGGCGGGAGCCCTGGCTTGTGTCCCAGCTTCTAGACTGGCCTGACACCTTTCTTTTGGCCCAAATAGGTCAGTGATTATCCGGGCACAGTCATGCTTGGCCCTGCTCCCAGGGTGTTTCCATATCTTTGATGCTGGCTTTTTCAGTTTGTGTTGTGATTGTTGTTGACACAGAGCCTCCCTGTTGGGCTTGGAGTTGCTTTGTGATAGGGACTGCATCTTAGGCAGACTTTTGTTGTCTTCATACGGTGGCTGGCATCTGGTAGGTGTCCGCGAATCTCCGTTAATAATAATAGCCATGAACTAGGGTCTGGTCAACTGTAAAAGGAGGTGAACACCAGCCTTGCTGACATCCCATAGTTCTTGTAAAGATTGAGTCAGATCGCATACATGAACAGCTTTGACACTGGGAAGGTGTTTTATTTATATAATTATAGGAAGGTATTATTAATGAAATATAGTCCTAAAGTAACCCAAGTTAGTTTCACTGTCATCACTGTTAACTTTTGATCAAGTAGAAGTAGGCCGTGGGCCTCTCTTTGTCTTGTACCTCCCTGCCCCCCATTGTGTGGGGGGATAAACTCATTCAGAATAAAGTAATGTCAAAATAGGATAACTTCACAGTGCTCACATTTGTCTGAATGAGAACTTGCATAAAACCTAGACTTGACACTGTGCTAGGCAGGTCAGAGGGCAGAGGAGCTTAACGGACAAAGTGCTGCCTCTGTGGAGACATGTAGTGCTAGATACCTGGATAATCTGGAAATTCCTGCACAACTTCCCCTTGGCCTGTATACCAGCGACTGGTTGAAAGTATGCCCCTGCCTTTATTCATAACTCATGTGACCTTGTTCTCCAGCATCCTCACTGGATTCTCATCATTGGCCATTGTAATTGGGATTGGCCGTTAGGGAAGCTTCTGGTCTTAGAATGCACTGATTGTTTCCCCTAGAGCAGATTTGCTGACTTGCCGTTAACAGTTGTGGTCTTGCTCCCTAACTTTCCTGCATGTTGCATCTGTGTTATGACCTCCTTCAAATTAATATGTGGGTGACAGGTGGAGCTACACAGAACCCCACTCTTCTTAGACACCCCTCCTCCCGCCCTTCCCCCGCCGCCACAGACACACAGAATTCTACACATGTGGCTGCTCAAAGCATATGAAAATGTCCATGGATAAAAAGGAGGTTATTAGAAGTGTAACTATGACTTTAAAAAAGAGTCAATTCCCAAACACTTGTGCTTCACCTATTATAGTGTCAAAGTACCTCCTGTATCCCTCCCAGCTGATTTGGTTCTGTCTAGTATCATGGGCTATTGCTGCCCAACTGCTCTAAACACATGGATGATGGTGTGAAGTCGTGCTTTGTTTTAGTGGCCTGCGGTGGCTTAGAAAGGAAGTCCCTACACAATAGACTACATTTGCTCCACTCCTGTTTCTTTATTCTGGTTAACGGGTCTGTTGCAAAGCTTTAACTCTAGTCTGGTTCTTGTTTTACTGTACTCTGTTAATGCAGGGGCCTCAGCCTGGCTGCAGGCAGATGAAAAGGGGGAAAGCTCTGTGTGTGTAAAGGAAGGGACTTCTTCACAAAGCTGTTTTCCTCTTTAAATGCCTTTAATGTCTGTCTATCATTTGTGATATAATTCTTTATATTCAAAACGGTAGCCTGACCTTGCCTTTATATCAATAAACACATATTAAGCATTGTAAATATTTTGCGGTGTATTAAAGTTCTCATGTCCAAATTCTTTTCATCCATCAAAGCCCAACCCAAAATGCCTTCTTATTTGGAGCCTTTCCTGATCATCTCTGATGTGGCTACTTTCTGGGAACTCTCATCACACTTACTCCCACTTTTGGAATTCTTGCCACTTTTTGGTTTTTGTCTTTGCTGTTTGTACATTCAGTGATTGTTGAGTGCTCACTGGACATCAACTAATGTTCCAGCTGTCAGTGGTCGGGGTTAGCTATTTTTTCATGGACTGGCTTTGCACATGGTTGTATTAAAAAGTCGTGCAGATACACGTGGCAGAGAAATGAAGCAGTTGCAAGGAATGTAGGGTAGAGTGAGTGAGTGTGTGTGTGTGTGTGTGTGCGCGCGCACGCATGCACGTGCAATGCCCCCCCCCCCCGCCTACCTCTCTCCAGAGGTATTCTCTGCTATTCATTTCCTAGGTTTCCTTCCAGAAGTAATCTGCCAGTGGTTCCTAAACAGTGGTTCACCAGCCTCTGAGGGTCCCTGAGCCCCTTTCTGGGTGCCTGTGAGGGAAGACTGTTTTCATAATAACACGAGGATGTCATGTCTGTTTTCTCTGTTTGTACTGATGGTGGACAAGCGATGCTGGTACCAGTTGAGGCCAGTGCCCCAATCGTACTGACATCATTGCTTTCTTCACCAGCTCCCCACTTGGACTTAAGCATATCCTTCCTTTTATTGATGGAGCAATAAAAATTAATTTTCTTAAATCTCAACTCTTTGAATACTCGTCCTTTTAATAGTCTTTCTGAGGAAATGGGAGGCCCTGCACAGAGAAGCACAGGGCCTGTTATGAGGAACAGTGGTTGTGTATTTTGAGTTACAAAATGAACTAGCAGCTTTTGTCACAGAATGCATTTTTGCTTGAATAAAATGGGTTGTGGATAAACTGTAGTTAGTGAGACATGGAAATTTGGTGGACATTTTCTGGAACATAAATGAAAGAGAACAGCTGCCAGAATTTATGGTCAATGATACTAAATTTTATAAAACTTATCTGTACCATGAGCATGACAACTTCCCATTACATTAAATACTTTTTGATGAGATCAATGGCAGTATTAATGTATTTGATATTATATAATGAAATGTGTCAACATTAGGAGGATCTACATAATTCTGTGAACCAGTATTTCCTTTTTTCGATGTTTGTTTATTTTTGAGAGACACAAGCAGGGTAGGGGTACAGAGAG